TTCTTTCCAGGTAGGGATTGCTTTGAAGGAGTCTCTGTCAGTTGTAGAAAACACAAGAACACAAGCCTGGGCTCCTAGAAGTATACAGAAAATTACAAATGCAAGTAAATACAAATCAGCTGACAAACAATAAGAAAAATCCATTATAATGTATTTAAAATATGAGGGATTTTTCAAGTTCCTCCTATAAAGTGCATTTTTCCCTCTAGCTTGTGCCAAACCATTGGTCATAAATTCCCCAAATGAAAATACATTGCCATATTATTTTGATTATTATTCCCACTCTTCATGATGGCTATGGGTCTGTTACCTTTAAAGCTAATTATAGCACGGCGAATATATGCAGGGGAAAGGAACGGGAGGGGATGTGGAAAGGCTGGAGAAAGGAAAAGGGAGGTTTTTTTTATTGCTCACTGTTTTCCAGGCAGTTTAATGGAGACTAGAAGGCAAATATTTTTCCCGTACGCAGTATCTGTAAATCACGTTTCATGTTACTCTTTGTGGTACAGTAATTTGGATTCTGAAAAGCAGAAAACTTAAGTTTTCAGATGAAGTTGTGGTTATTTCAAGTAAATTGTTTAGTAGCTTTTTGGAGAAAATAAGTGTTGTATTTCTAATTCGTACTCATTCTATCAGAGCACTGTGATAAATTATACAAAACGTTTTGTTATAAGCCACAGTTAAACCCCATGGATACTGAGAAGGTACTTCCACAGCTGAAATATTAGTGTGTGGTCTTCTGACTGTCCAGTAGCCCTTGGTTATTCTCAAGAAACTAATTTTCCTTGCATGTAAACACATGCTGAGACGCTTTATTATTTATATGCCTTCAATATATTTACTAGTTAGTAAGAAAGTGTAAAAGTAATAGATAGCTAATGTTTTAAGACTGTAGTATAATCTTGTGATGAATATCTCAGATTAATTACATATAGCATGAAAAAATTTTAATCAGTATGAATTTTCTTTTTTCTGTGAGTTTCACCAAGTATCCCCCATTCCTGTGTTCTGTTTGTATTTCTTGGACACAAAGCAAAGTTCTCTTAATCATTAATTATGAGCTACAGCTAGAACTATTACCAAAAAAAAATCCATTAGTTGACAAATTGCTTATGAAATATAAAAAGGTCAGAGGATTGCAACATCCTGAAACAGCATGGCATAAATATTATTTTATCTCTAAATGAGGTGATTTTATACTATAGCAATATATTTTTCCCCACCATCAGGCAATTAGTTTGCAAGAACTGAACAATGGAATTTTGCCAAGTCATTCCTCTCTCTCACATTAAAAAAACAAAAAGAAATATTTCAGAACCATTGTTAACTTATATGCAAAGAAAACTTAAGTATGCAATTTGTAACTGGCTAAACAGATAAACTGCTTTTACATGAATAATAGTTTATTTTATGAAGTAAATACACTTTGCTTATTACTCTTGCGTTAAGATATTCAAGGCAGACTGTACTAGCAAAAGAACTGCTGTGCCTAGTAAACTATCTTTCTAGGATGACTGGTAGATTTTTTCTCCCTTGGATAATTACGAAGTTTTTGGAACATTTACAAATATGTGTCTTACAGAAGTAGTAAAACACTTTTAGAGGAAAAATATAAATTTGCATTTGATTGTTTGAATGTCTACATTCTGCCCAGTTTCTGTGCAGATATTTGTCTCATTTCATTCCATGTTTTCTAAAGGGCACTATTGAGCATCCTGCATAAAGTGGTACATAATTAATAAAAGGATCTTGTACGAAGGGGAAAAATATTTAAGAATTGAAAAAGACAAACTAAACATATTACATTCTATGTATTTCAGAGATCTGCTGACCTAAAAACCCCAACAACTACCAAATAAGAAACATAGTATTTTCACCTCTATAGTAGGCCTTAGTTATTGCATCAAATTCTTCTTGACCCGCAGTGTCCCATAACATTAGCCTGACATCTTCATCATTAACTCTGAAACAAACAGCAAGGCTTTGTGATCAATACAATAAGAGGAGCAATTCAAAACAACTGACATGGAAATACTTATGTATCTACAGTGTAAGTAATCCAAGTCAAATTTAACTGGATTTAAACATCATGTAACTTACTATTAATACATTCACCTCCATAACATAATATTGAGGGCAACAGTCCCTCAATTACATCATATGCTCTTTACTGAGCATATGATGTAAGTGGTCTGTATTACATTTTCCTCTTCCTTTCCTCCTCTTCCTCTATATTTCCCTCTACAAGGAAAAATAATATAGACATCAAAACAAAACTTAGGTGCTTGAAGAATGGTCCTATTGTCTTTTTAATCAGCTTACAGAATTCATAGGATTTTCTTACTTCTCATTACCATAGCATTTTCCACTTTATCAAACATAATTAGGTATTACCTGCTTATACTGCATAAAGACATTAAATATTGTTTTCCACAGTCATTTTTATCTATATTGGCTAATAAATTGGTGTAATCATTTTATCATAAGCAGTTTCACTTCTTCCACAAGAAATTATTGAAAAAAATTTAAAAAATAATCAACACGTGGTAGAATACAAAGGAAACTCGTCAAAGAGCTTAGTACGACAGAGGTTCCAGATTTTATTTATAGTTTTAAATTTTGGATGGAGAATAAATGATATAATTTTACCCCACAGTGCAACAGAGAAAACAACTGCCTTTACTGTGCTTCAGAAACAGCAGGCCTTGTCTTCCAAGTCTTTGTAAACCTCAGGATTACAACAGAAGAAAGAACTAGAGAGAAAGGTAAAAGTTAATAGTATGTCATCTCCTTAATACATACTGGATTTGTCTTTCCAGGAAATCTACACCAATAGTTTTCTTGTAGTCTTTTGTAAAAATCCCCTTGCAATATCGCTGAATCATACTGGACTTCCCAACAGCTCCATTTCCTACAACTACCACCTTGATGGCCACTTCCATATCTTCTTCCAACATCTTTGTGTCTCAGGCAACTCTCTGGTTTATTCAGGAAACTGTTGATTCTGTCAACAAAGTAAATAGCTATTATGTTCATAAAAATGCTGTGAATAGAAAAAAAGAGGAAAGATGATCACACACATCAGGATGCGTATAGATAGTATAATTTATTTCTGCCTCAGTCACAGACTGTTTAAGTGACCTCAGGCAACTTATTTAACGAACTTTGATTTGCCACTTATTAATTAGAAATTAATAAAAATCAGAAATAGAAAATAATTTGTTGGGCTTATTGCAAAGATATTTCATTCAAGTTTTGGTGGATATTTTTTTTTAATGAGGAAGAAATGGAAGCAGAGAATCACAAAAGCATGGAATCATTAAGGTTGGAAAGACCTCAAAGATCATCAAGTCCAACCATTAAGCCAGCATGGCCAAGTCCACCACTAAACCCTGTCTATAAGTGCCACATCTACACATCTTTTAAACACCTCCAGGGATGATGATGATGCAACCACTTCCCTGGGCAGCCTGTTCCAGTGCTTGATAACCCTTGCAGTGAAGAAATTTTTCCTAATAAACCTCTGCCGGCACAACTTGAGGCCATTTCCTCTTGGCTGTTGCTAGTTGCCTGGGAAAAGATGCTGACCCCCACCCGGCTACATCCTCCTTTCAGGTAGTTGTAGAGAGCAGCAACATCTCCCCTGAGCCTCCTTTTCTCCAGGCTAAACAAACCCAGCTTCCTCAGCCTCTCCTCATAGGACTTATCTCTAAACCCTTCTCTGGACATGCTCCAGCACCTCAATGTCTTTCTTGCAGTAAGGGGCCCAGAACAGGACAAAGTACTCGAGCTGTGGTCTCACGAGTGCTAAGTACAGAGGGACAATCCCTTCCTTGGTCTTGATGGCCACACTATTTCTGATACAGCCCAGGATGCCTTTGGCCTTCTCGGCCACCTGGGCACACTGCTGGCTCACGTTCAGCTGCCTGTTGACCAGCACCCCCACCGTCAGGCTGCTCTCCAGCCACTCTTCCCCCAGCCTGTAGCACTGCATAGCGTTGTTGTGACCCAAGGGCAGGACCCAGCGCTTCATCTTATTGAATCTCACACAGTTGGCCTCGGTTCATCAATCCAGCCTGTCTAGATCCCTAAGCAAAGCCTTTCTACCCTCCAGCAGACCAATACTCCCACCTGACTTGGTGTAGTCGGCAAACTGACTGAGGATGCCCTCGATCCCCTCATCCAGATCATCGATAAAAATATTAAACAGAGCTGTCTCCAACACTGAGCCCTGGGAAACACCACTAGTGACCAGACGCCTGATGGATTTAACTCCATTCACCACCACTCTCTGGGCCTCTGTCCCTCAAACACGGGTGTGCCTCCCCAGGCTTTTCTCTAGGGAGCCTGGTTTTATTCCTTTCCTCCTTCAAATCCAGTTTAAAACTTTCAGTGAGTCCTACTAACCCCTGTCAAAGATCTTTTCCCCACTTTGAGACAGGCATAACCTATCTGTTGATAGCAGGCTTGGTGTCGTGTAGACCCACCCATGATCAAAACCCACAAAATTCTGCCCATAACACCAGGTTCTGTTTCTTTCCTTTTTATTCTCTGCTATTGGAAGAACAGAACACTGCTTGCACTCCTGATCCCCTAACCAGTCATTCCAAGGCTCTGAAGTCTCTCTTGATTGCCCTCGGACTTGCTGCAACTTCATCATTGCCTATCTGATAAAAGCTAAGTTTCCCCCGCGTTTTGCTGTGCCGGGATATCATCACTAACATTTCGCAACTGCAGAGTGGCAAATTTACCTCCCAAGAGGCACGCCACCCTCCTTTGGAAGGATGGGAAAATACATCCCTTGTAAAGGCTCTGCCCACCCCCCCAGTCGCACTCCGTGCTGGCAGAGCTGCGCTACCCGGCACCCTCGCTCCGCTCGCCCAGACAGACGCCGTTTCTGGGCTGCCTTGGATGCACTAAACGCCAGCCTACATCCGTTTCTACAGAGTGTTTGGCAAGCCCCGTTAGCACCGGGAGTCCGTACGGCCATTCTGGGCGAAGACGAGACCCCCGAGGGTCTCCGCGCAGATACCCACCGCCCCCTCCCGACCCTGCCCGGGGGCCACGACGAGGGTGGAGGCTCGGCCGCCCCGGCCCCTCCCGCGGCCCCGGCCCCGGTCCCGCTCCCCGCCCGCCCGGCCCGGGATGCCGCGGCCGCCGCCGGGTCCCGTCCCCGCCCGCGGCCCCTCTCACCAACCGCCTGCGGGAGCAGCGCTCCCTCCGCGGGCACAGCGGTGCAGGGACGGAGGCAGGGAAGAGGAGACGGAGAGAAAGCGAGAGGCAACCGCTCCCTGGGGCCGACCCAACCCGGACGCACATCCCGGCTCCCCCGCCCGGAAACGCCGTCAGGACCGGGGGCGCCGCTCGGGGAGGTGCCTGCCCGCTGCCTCCGCCCCCGCGGCGGCGAGACCCCCGCCGGGTGGGGGTTGGTCGGGAGGCTCCTGCCAGGGGTTTGCGGTAGGGTCGTTGTCCGCCTGAGTCGGGCTTGAAGCGAGGGAGAGGTTGCTTTTTCGTCTGGGTTCCTGAGGAAAGATACGGGCAAGGCTGATCTTCCCGGCCCCTGCCTGCATTCGTCCTTGTTCCACTCCCTATCCGCCGGCCTTCCTCACCTCGTCCTTCACGGAAAACAGTGTGATCAGCCACAGGCTTTCTTTAGGCCATCAATGAGGGCAGCTGCCGTTCCTGTGTAGCTTTTTTTGACCAAGGTGTGCCCATCATCGTGGCACATGGTCTGCCAGCTCCCAGGTTTTATATAAAACAGGGTATGGTAAGTTTTGGCATGACTGTAGACATGATAATCTTAGAATCTGAAGATGTTCCCTTGTTTTGGTTGGCTTGGGGGTTTTTAAGTTAAACTGACACAAAATGCCCCCTGTCCTAAATCCCCTTTTCATGCTGCAGAACACACCTCTTGGGCTAGGGTGGCTGCTCTCAGTGCCCCCCCAGCCCTCCTGCTACTCAACTATGGCCGAGTAACACTCGGATATTGCCAAGTGTGGGTTGCTGAAACCTGCCCTGCCCAACTGAGGGCTCTTTATGCCTGTCCTGTGCTTGCCAAGGCCACGTCTTCACTCTAAGGTCAACTAGTGTTGCCTGTGCCTAAATAAATACCTTTTGGATTAGCACATTTTGCAGCTGCATCCCAAAAGAATTGTTAGATTTCGTGCATGGTTTTTATTTTGAAATTTATATGTTCATTTTGTTAGTGCTGACACTGGCTTGCAGTCTCACAGTCTGTCTGATGCCAGGGCTTCTCTGTACCAATAGGCCTTGAATTGGAGAGCTCTAACATTATGAGAACTTTGTTACTTGCCTAATACCAAGTAACATGTTACAAATGTAGCTTATTATATTTCCCTGATTTTACCATGAGAAATGTGAGGTGTGTGGCTGGAATTCATCTCACCTAAGACCTACATTGTAAACATTTGTATGATATTGCTCACTTTCAGATAGATGTCAAGTATTCCAGGCAGACTGTTCCCCCTTCTCTCCGTTGACTGGAAAAGGAGCCTGTGGCCACAGCTGTATAAGGTTAGAGGAGATATAGCCTGTCTTAAGTGCCCTGATTTAGTCAGTAACTTAGTGATGGCTCTAAGTAATTTTAGTTTTTAATTTTCTGTTCTTTAAATTTTATATATTGGGTAATGCTTTTGTGAAGTGTAAGGCTAGAACATGTGCTGTGACCTGTCTGTCCTATTGGCGATGCACTGATATTTCTTTGTCAAGGCCCAATAATTCAGTGAGGCTAAACCATTCCAGCATATCGGATTGGGTATAATGTTGGATATATTGGGTATATTCAGGAAACTATTCTTATCATGTGCCACAAGTGAAAGAGAAAAATGGAGGAACTGATACATTCATAGATTTCAAGGCTTTAGCTTATACATGATTTGATGACTTGTGATGGGATCAGCCAGCAATGTGACTTATTTCCAACTAAAAAATTGTATCTCTTTTAAATTTGTCTAAATTAAAATTCCAGTCACTGGATCTTACTACATCTTTTCATGGAGACTGGCTGGCACCTATTCTTGGATATCTTTTCCATTGGCAGATACCAGGGCACACATCAGCTGTGAAACTTCTCTTCAGCAAACCAGATATCCCAAGCTCCCTAAGACACTTACCACAATGCTGACTTTTCAGCATCTAGATCACTTTCTGTGACACACTTTTGAACACTTTGAAGTATTTTGATGTTGTAAGCAGATACACCAAATTAGCAAGCAAATCATAGTGTTATAGTAGTAGATGTACAAAGGTGAGACAAATTCCTACCTTCTAGTTTGTCTTCCCCTTACAAACTCCCAAAAGGTCAGGCTAATCCCTTTTGCCATACCATTTCATCAAGGTTTCCTATTCAGACAGTTTCCTGTATATTCTGCTGTGATTACTGCTTTCCAAGGCATTTTTTAACATAAGTAGCCGGAATCCTTTTTTCACCAGATGTACTACAGTGCAGCTAGCTACAATGTAATTATTTTGTTTGCCTGCAAGGCAAATCAAATTGATGTATAACTGGAAAGTACTGCCAACCTTTATTAAAGCCATCTCTTTGTTAATAGCAAGCTTTACATGAATATCACTGATTAATCAATAAAAATGTTAAATAATCTTTCACCAAGAGTCCTTAGGAGTCCCATTAGAGTAACTCTAATTTCTGCTTCTTCCATAATCACAACTATGTTCTGAAACATCTCAGTGAGCCAATTCAATGCATCCGCTGCATGCCCTGTTTTTCCCACTCAGTGTGTGCATTTCAGCAAATGCAATCCTGAAAAAACAAACCAACAACAAAAAGAGACAGCAACTTCTTAATATCATTTGTTTTCTGTGAGAATAGGCTGCATGCTGGATTTTTAGTCACGTATTTTTGTTAATGTGATGAAAATATTTTCATTAATATGTGTGTATTTTTTACTATCTTAAATCCTTCTAAAGCTGAATTTTAATGAATTTACTCATATAGAGTACCTTGGAGCTGAACTGCACAGTAGTTAGTCATTAAGAGTGAGATCATACAGCTGAAGTAGAATGTATAAGGTCAGAGACACAAGTGAGTGGATGACTTAAGCTCACCGGTTCCCACAAGCTCCTAAATTTACAGGGGTGACAGTGGATGTTGCCGTAACAAGTCATGCAATGATTTGCAGTGATTCCCCATCTCAGCTTTCTCTCCTCTGTGTTCCACTGATTGACAAAGAAATGAGGCTGACACTTGCCAAGAGACACTTCTCTACAGTTCAGCTACTCGGACTCATGGATGCAAAACATCCGGACTTTTTGAAATGTTTGAGTTGGAGGTCAAGGTTTGCCTCTCAAATCTGCTGCCACTGATAATTATTCTTTTTTCTCTCCCTCTCCTATTACTAGGAGCTTTGCAGATTTATGATTTTGCCATACCATTTTCTTCTGACCATATTTGTTGTCACTTTTTTTTTTATATTTTCTGTAATGTCTTCTCTATTAGAAGAACTAATTTACAATGCCTGTAAAGAATCACCGGAGTAGCCTAAAATATAAAATATCCCAAGCTTTTACTTAGATTCCAAGCTTACATGTCACACCCAATATAGTATCCTCTCAAAGCAGTTTTATGTTTTCTTTTTTTCCCTTGAACAGAACCTCTACTGAAAGTTGAAGAAAAAATATACGACTCAATCACAGGAACATTTAGGTATGAATAAAAAAAAAAAATTCAATTGCGTGCCACAGTGTAAAAGTGTCAGTAGATATTTATTTATTTATTTACATTAAGCCTATCTGTGAAGTACGAAGTCCCATATTTTAATCAGTATTTGCTTTCATTTTGATGCTGTAAGTTTATTCTACAAATAATCAAATTTTGCTTAACATCTACATGAAAAAGCAGACAAAAATAGATTCTTAGAAGTCATACCATTTTTCATTGCCATTTACTTTTATTTTTCATACTTTTCATTTATATATCGTATCCTATTTTAATTTTCATATATTCCACCAATTTATCAAAATATCATTTTTTTACTGTGTTATTTTTGTATTTTTTGAAGCTGATGATTGCATGCTACATTCTGACATTGTCGTTTTGTAATCCCATGGTTGGAGCTATGTCAACCAGGTCAGAAAAGTAAGATGTGTTGCATTGAAGCATTTTTGTGGCTATTTTGTAATTCTAACCATGCTAATGTTTTAAGACTGCAGTTATTAATGCATTGTTACATAAATTTTAAATATGTCCAAATCAAATGTGATCTATGTGTAGATGTTAAGGAGCCTTGGGACATCAACAGTTTTGAAGAAGTTTCTCATGCTGAAGGCAATAGTTTCTCTGCTTAGGTGTAAATAAAACAAGATGAGTTGCTGGCAGCAGTACTTCAGCTAATTTAAACCAATATATTCAGTGATGTTGTTGAATTATCAGGTACAAACAGTGTGTCGTACAATGAAAAAGTAGAATTTCTAAATACAGTTGTTTCTATTGACTCTATAAAGACTGTTAAAAAATCAAAGTAATTGATCTGTGTGCTGTATGTTTTTGAGTAATAAAAATGTAGAGAAATGAAATGGAAATATTTGAGGACATTATCAGGATTGAAACACGAAATATTAGATAATTGAGTTATATTAGGTAATTCAGCTATATGAAGAATCATGCACAGTTTGGTATTTGCTGTAGCTTACTTGATATGGAAATGCACTTGCCCAAAGCAAAAGCTGAAAGTGTTTAAAGTTGTGTATATTCAGAGTTACTGATAAATTGGCGTTAGGTGAGTTGTTGGTAGTAATAGACTTGCTTTTCTTTTCCTGCTCTTGCTACTTTAAATACGTACCTAGGGAATGAAAAGTAATGGCTGTTTGAGAAAGAGAGGTCTGCCACCAAACCAGAAGGAAATGAAGATATTAACCTTAATTGGGTAATTACTAGAAAGTATTTCCTGGTAGCATAGAAAATGCTTATTTAAAGTTGACAGACAGCAAAAGTACAAAGAGATAGCAACGGAGGGAGGAACTGAGTCAAACTTAGCAATATAGAGTTTGAAAGTAAATATTTGCTATGCTGTTAGCACCATATTCCCCTGGAAAAGCAGGTTCTGAATAGTGCTTGCCAATCCTCCATGTGATGAATCTCCCAATCAAAATTTCAGTGACCAGGGGGTGAAATGAGGAGCACTAGAACTAGAAATCATTTGGGGATAAGAAAACAAACCAAAGGTTCTTCTTGATTAAAATTTGCTGCTGATGGTAGTTGAAGAGAACTGTCTTAATGATCAGAATGTTTAGACAGTCATATTTTTTTATTAGTAATTAATTCCTATATTTAAATTTTGTAGGATATGCAGACATATCTGAAGTAGTTTGGAGAAGACAGTGCTTGCTATGGTCAAGCAAACTGTCAGCTTATTTTTACTTTATTTTAGGCAGCGTACTTGATTGGAACATTATATCTGAATTTCCAGAATTTGGAGTGATAGAAATAAGTTCATGGTGTTACATATAGGCACCAGAGTTCACCTAAAACCATGCAACAGAGGCTATGTGGATTTTGGATATACTGAGGACTTACAGCTTGCCTGGAAATCAGTGAAGTTGGAGAATCCAAGTAACCTAGGAAACTGTTACCTGTATATGTACTTACATGCATACATATATATACGTGTACCTTACAGTACATGTGCATATGTTGACTGAAATATTCTGTAAAAGTGCATTTTTTTACTTCTGTGTATTTTGTGAATAAAATTTTGACAGCATTTCTGGGAAGAATTAAGCAGATAAAATGGAAATTAGATACAAGGAAGGTGACAATAATCCTGTGAATTCAAAAAGATTCCAATTAACTGTTTCCTTAAAACTGAAATGTCTAATGGGGGGGAGGAAATAGCAGCAGCAATCATTACTGTGGTAAAATTAGCCTGCTGTTCAATAGGGTAAAGTCAAAAGGTCTGAGAATATCAGAGGAAAGAAGACATTTCCATTGCTTTAGTCTTGAGAACTTGTTATGAAAATACATACAATTAATTAAAACAAAGCTACCCAGAGATCTAGACTGTGAAGACTTTTTCTTGCTATCCAGTGTCATTTGTAAGCACTGTTCAGAGTTCATGCAGAACTGTATTTTAATCCTTATGTGAAATTAGAGGAAAATGTTCCTGTGAAATGCAAAACCTTCCTAATGATAAGCCAAGGCCATTCAGTAACTGGAATCACCAGAATGCAGTGTTATAGTTGAGGGTGTTCTCAGAGGCAACTGTGGGTTTTACAAAGATAGTAATTTGCTTCTTTTGTTCATAGATACACTGTCATTCATCAACATTTAGTTTCCCCCACATTTTTCAAATTCTCTTTTGAGTCACTGAAGGCTTTATAGGAAATAGATCATTTGAGAAATACCTTGTGTATGTATTTTGTGGTCCAGTCTTGGCGGTCAGTAAAATGCACATACCAGTGTAATAGCATTTGAAACCTGCAGTGGCAAGAATTAGAGAAAAAACCCATACACATGTGGATCCCTGTAGCTAGGCAATGTATTTACCTGGTAGCCAGATTTTTATTATTTGAGAAATTTTTCAGGGACTGGAATTGTTCAAAATTGTCACATTAGTAAAACTGGGAAAGCCCGCTTTGTGTACAATTAATCATGTGTGTCCAAACTATTGCTGGATTAAGTTAATTTCTTATGTGAGACCTATATGACCTTATTTTAGACCTACTCTGTTAGACAGAAGGTGTAAATTTACTGTATTGAGTAGTCAGCATCTTTGTATCTTTATTTTTGGAAGCATTAATTCTCCACATTACAAATCTTCCGTGCTAATTGGTGTCTTTTCAGACACTTGCTGCTGGGAAGCAGTTTAAATGTGGACTGCCACATTATGAGCTGTTATCCCAGATACCTCCGTAACTATATTTGCAAAATTTAACAGAATCTGTTCTAAAAAAATGAACTCCACTAAATGTTCTCTTCACATAAACACCAATAAAACTGTTGAGTATAAACAGAGATGCCAAAAAGGGTGCTCTCAAGACTGAAGCCGGATATTTCACATTAGAGCAATCAGAAAACTCTCAGGCATAATTGTCAAGAAAACCATCACAAAGATAATAGATGAATTTACTTTGAAATCTGTAGAATTTTTCTTTAATTCACACTGAAATAAACTGAGTGTATATATTAATAGAAAATAAATAATTTAATAATAAGTTAATAAATATACACTCCTGAGAGTAGTGATGAATCTTTCTATGCCTACATAGTTATTTCTGTTGTTCTTAAGGTATTGTGTACTATACCTTAAAATGCTATAGGCTTGTTTTAAATAACTGATGAAAAGAGTAAGAAATACAAGTTATTTGATTAAAGAAGTTGATTCTTACATCCCAGTGCCTACTCCATAATGCTGGGGTTTTGTACATTTGCTTTCAAGTAACTGCAGATTTCTTAAGAATTTTTGTGTTTGTGTTTATACAACATGAGGAGCTTGGAGGGAAATTTATGTATATTGAAGTTCATGTATATGTTTAATAAAAATGAATTTTCATAAGGAAATAATTTGCTGTGGGAATGCATTAATTGAGGTAAGATGTCCTTTGGTAATTGGAATCATGTTTTTATCAATATCCTGGAAGGACACACTGAGTTAAGATATGAGTTAAATCAATCAGAAGAGGAATGTGAACTAGATTTCAGTTTTCCAAATTATAACTCTAAGCACTGGGCAAGTAAGCATAAAGAACTGCCAAGATGCTGCCTTGTGCTTTATATGAGGTTGGAAGCTCACCAGATGATGACTGCAAGGGCACATGGTGCTTACTGTCCTTGTCTTACTGTCCTTGAAGGCAGACAGTTCATATAATGTGATGAAAAGAGTGGGCTGTGGTACGAGAGCTTAACTCTTCACCCTTTTCACCCTTGTACCATGTAAGTTTTTAGCATATTTTCTGTTTCTTTATCACCTGATTGGCATTTGCCTCCTGACTCTATCACCATATTCTGTATAAAGGGGCCATGCCCATCACTGCCCCTTGGCTTCTAATTTGCCCTTGCTGTGCCTGCTGCCAGTGAAGCTGGCAGAGTTTCAGCCATGCAGGGCTAGTTAAGGACCATCAACATCCCATAGAATAAGGCAGACGGGTAGAGTTTTGCATCACAGACCTCATCTTCACCCAAAACACAAAGCATAGCTGGTGCTGTGGTGGGACAGTACCCTTTATGTCCTCCACTGGGTAGCAGCCAGGGGCAGGGTCCCCTGAGGCCAGGCAGGTCTATTATCCAACAAAGGTTTTGGGTGACAGAGCCAGCACCCATTTGTTGGGCCATATTGTCTTCCGTTTTGAGGATTACTAGCTGAGCTTAGGAAAAGAAGGGCCGTATCCAGAATGCTGTACCCTCTGCCCTGCAGCAACAGCACAAGGCCATCAGAGCCGCTGTCAGATTGCCATGAAAACAGGACAGAAGCCATTGTTTTCTATGGAACTTAGCCAGTCCAAGTGTCTGCATTTTGCTGTGGGCTAGTTTGGAGGCAGCACATCCACTGCTGCTTTTAGTCTTTGAAATCATTTTATAGTCCTCCAGGAATACACATCACCTCAGAAAATGAAAGAAAATACATAGGTAGATAGGTAATTAGAATCCAAGGTCTACACTACTACGTGCCACTATCTTTGTTTCATCTACTCCCTTCCTGTCCTCAGTAG